TCCACCCTCACACCACTGCTCCCTGGGGCCTCACGCACCAATGTGCTTTTACCTGTGTGCTGCCTAGCAAGAGGCCATGTGGTGGCACTGTGTGACCACATTCAGTGCCTCACTGCAGGCACTCTTCTGCAATAGGCATTTCCAGGTGTATAAGAACCCAACACACACCACCTCAGCCACTGTGAAGAGCAAACGGGTTCAAAGGGCAAATACCAGTTCTAGTGCTTACTTTACACCAGATACACAAATTGTTCAAACCCCTGCATGTTTGATAGATCAAATTAGGTTGAAATCCTCCTGACCTCACTGCCTGTCACACACACTCCAACCAGCAGGTGCCAGCTCCTAGATGAGGTGACAGCAGTGCATCACAGCCTTGCTTAGGAGCTTACCCAGGCTCTGCTTTACTTGCTGGTCAGAACCTCCTCCTCAAAGCTCTACTTTGCTACCTACACCTTGGGCTCACTGAAAAAGGATAAGTATAATAGTATATAGGTTAAACTAGCCTTTATTAAAATACAGAATTATATTAAATTTGACCTCAAAAGAAACTTCAGAGCACACATTAATCATCATATATTGGAGGTGGCATGTCAATGATCTCATCCAGGGTAGCAAGGAAGTCAGCAGTTGATTGTAGCAAATCTGAAAGTTAGAAATAAATCAAATCAGTTTCTTAAACTCAGAATGCACACAAACATAAGCTAGCTCCCACCAGCTCAGCATAAACCTGTTGAATAAGCAAGGGCAATATTGCTTCATTGTATAAGCCAATGCCACCTAACTGATCAGTTTGCAACACACCACAAAAGATTGCTCAGTGCTTTTCACTGGGTAGAGTTAATTTTCTTCACTGGTATGGGCTGTGTTTTGCATTTGTGCTGGAAGCAGTGTTGCTAACTCAGGGATGGTTCAGTTGTGTGAGCACTGCTCAGCAACAGAGTCAAGGCCTTTTCTGCTCCCCACCCCACCAGTGAGGAGGAGGCTGGGAGTGCTCAAGCATCTGGAAGGGAGCACAGCCAGAACAGCTGATCCCAACAGGCCCAGGGATATCCCAAACCATATGGTGCCATGCTCAGCAGACAAAGCTGGGGGAGAAGAGAGACATTTGGAGTTAGGGCACTTGTCTTCCCAAGCCACCACTGCATGTGATGAAGCCCTGCTGTTGTGAGGACACTGAACACCTGCTTGCTGATGGAAACAGTGAATTCCCTGCCCTGTTTTTCCCTAAATGCATGGCTTTTGCTTTAGTTATCAAAACTGCTTTTATCTCAAAGCATGAGTTTTTTCACATTTTCTCTTCTGATTTCTTCCCCATCCCAGAGCAGGGCAGCAAGTTGTGTGGTGCTTGGTTGCAGTTGGGTTCAGCCACAAGTCAGTGACACCACTGGAGACAATGGCAGTGCTGGCCAGGTACACTGGGCCTGGCTACACAGCAGAAGCTGTGTGACACTGGTGCACTGCTCTGGTGGCTCAGACAGCAGCAGCAATTCACTGCTGCAGCCAGCCGGCTTTTTGCCCTGAGCACTGAGGAGCACTGTGTGTACTGAATGTCTGCAGAGTTTCCACTTACTGGATTCCCATGAAATCTCTTCCATCTTCACTGGTGAAGAAGCCAAGCTCACACATCTGTCATATGTCCTCTCAAATACCATGAGGGGAACACCACACAGGTTGATGTTGCTTAGTTTGTATTCTTCAGGAAGATCAAAACTCTCAAAGTCTGTTTAAGAAAGACTGTTAAGTGTGCGGTAGCCTGGAAAGCTGCAAACTTCTGGACTAAATTAAATAGGAGCCAACCTAAAACACAACAGTCTCCTCTTATGGGGTATTTACCTGCAGTTACACCTTTCAGCTGTCCATGAAACCCCATACACCAACCCTGATGGAAACACTAGGCTGCTAATGGAACTGCTAATGTACAGCAGTTGGTAACTTCATGCACATTTCATCAACACAGCAGTCTTGGGGACTGTAGTTTGCACACATGAAGAGGAAAGTTTAAGGACACACTTTGAAGGACTGAGAATGAAATGGACTGGCCTAAGAATAACTTTAGAAGTTTCATCTTCAACAATTATATCCCAGAGCAGTAGGAATCTCTTCAGTTACAAATCTTGGCACACTTTCCTGTATTCCTTTGGATAGTCTATCTATTAGTTATTATCTGCTAGTCACTATTTAATGAAATAAGCTAATATCTGGTTGTTTGGAATGTGTTTCCTCTCACCACAATGAGAGACTCAGAATAACCCATCTGAAGCACAGCCAGTACTGTTACAAATGCCACCTCATTCCTGGTAAAGTATTCCAGAAGCAGCAAGCACCTTTGTGTTTCAGAAAGGATTCAGGAGAAATGCAGTGCTGGCTTGTGTGCCACAGCAGCTTGGACAAATTCTCACAACAATGCCACCACTCATTAAAGCCTAATTTTAATAATTACATCAATAGTTCTTACCTTGAGGATCCAAAGGAAACATGTTTTCTATTTCTGGCCAATCTTCTTCAGGCACTGTATGGCAGCTTTCTAATCCAGTCTTTGTTAGGCATAAAAAGAGAGGTAACATTATTTGAGCTGCTGTAGAATATTTGTAGTGGCTTTCTTGTGCTGTTCAGGTCTACAGCCAAGCATACCTGTCATACTTTTTTCAGGCCTAAATTCTAATATCTTCAATACAAATAAGATGAAGATAGGCAAATGTTTCAGCTGAGTTTATGCAGTGCATAAACTACGTGGTGGTAAGAGGTGACTGCACTAGAACAGAGAACTCTTAAGGTGTGGATAAGATAAATTCAGACTATTTTCTCTAGAACCACCTACATAGGTGCCCTGCTTTTAGACAGGATAGAGTTATTTTTCGTCCTAGCAAGTATTATGAGCCCGTGTTTTGGATTCATGATGAAAGCAGCTCTTTCAGCTATTGCCAAGCAGTGTTTGCACAGCCCAGGCCTTCTCTGTTTCTCACAACCCCAGCAGTGAGGAGGCTGGGGGGGCACAGGCAGGACAGCTGACCCAATATGATATCCCATATTGAGCATCCAGGGCATCTCAGCAAGGAAAATTGCTGGGAAGGCAGGGCTACCACTGCTCTGGGACTGGCAAGGCATTGGTCAACTGGTGACAAGGAATTGGTTTTGGTATTCTTTGAGATTTCTCATTATTAAATTGCCTTAATCTCAGCCCATTATTTTTCTCACATTCACCCTTCCAATTCTCACCCCCTATCCCATCAAAGAGGGGGAGAGGGAGCACCTGTGTGGTGCTTAATTATATCACAGTTAAATCACAGCAGGTAAATTACAGATTTCCCCTCTTCCCCATAAGTGTGCTGTACTCACTTTGTTCACAGTGCAAGGCTGACTTTTCTGTTTTAGCTTATCCATCTTGCTCGTGACTCCTTCAGTTTTATTCACATTTCCAAGAGCCTTTCTGACAGAGCAAGATGTGACTGGAGAAGCACTGATTGCTTTTTTAGGAAGTGGAGTGTTAACTTTTCTTTCAGCTAAGACTTTTGCTGGAAGCAGGGGGGGAGGAAAAAAGCAAACATCAGCAACCCTGACATTTACCTAAGTAAGTGCACATGCAAATCACTGTTCACCATCTAGAAGTCATAAACCACACTTATGACAAAAGCACAGAATTATCTTCAATTTTATACCAACTGAGCTTGGAAGAATTGATTGGGTGAGTGAATTTATGAATCAGAAACTGTTACCATTAAAAGCAGTCACTAACAAAATGTGATTTATGCCCTTCCCTTGATCCCTTACTGGCTCAGGGCAGCAAATACGCACAAGTTCCTGAAGGGAGCTTCAGCTGACTCTTGGGAGCATGACGGTCACTGTTCTCCTGATCAACATAGATCAGAGTTGCCATCTTCAGAGTGATGAGGCTACCCTGTAGAGTCCAGAGGAAAAAGGGAAAGCACTTCTTTTGTCATTTGTATCATTACAACACCCTTTCTAGGCAAGCCCCATTAAAAGTAACAGAGCTATCAAGTACTGGTCTCTAGACAAGGGACCAAATCCCTACTTCCCACCATTATAGAGCAGGTCAGCTAAAGCCCCTCACGTCTGAAGGCACTTCTGGTGCTCATCGCTGCCATCACACAGGTGAACGTGCAATTCCTCATTACAGAGGAATGCAAGAAAACTCAGAACCACAGCTAATGAGGCTGGAAAAGTTCTCTAACAAATCGAGTCCAACCTAAACATCACCATGGCACCGAGTGCCACATCCAACCTTTCCTTAAACACCTCCAGGGACAGTGACTCTACCATCCCCCGGGCAGCCCGTTCTAATGTGTAACCACCCTTTCTATCAGGAATTCTTCCTAATGGCCAACTGAAATCCCCTCCAGCACAGCTTGATACCGTTTATTTTTGTTCTGCTGCTGGTTGTCTGAGAGAAAACAGCGATCTCCACCTGGCTGAACGTGCTTTCAGGGGATTATAGGCAGCGATAAGGCCCGCTGAGCCTCCTCTTCCCCGGGCTGAGCACGACCCACCCCTCCTCCTCCTCACAGCTGTGCCCCAAACCCTTCCCAGCCTTACTGCCTTTCTCTGGCCGAAAGGCCTTTTACCGTACAGCCTGAAGCACAAAGCCAGATGCAAAGCCCTAGTCCGGCCCTACCCCGAACCCTCAACTCACCCCAGAAAGCGACAGCACAGGGAAAACCAGAGCCACGAAGTCCGAACCGTTCTCAACCACCTCTAAGCTGCCTAGGGGCCAACGGCGCCGTCTTTTAAACCGGCCCCGAGCCGCCCATTGGCCGCTTCGACCCACGCGCGGCAGCCGATTGGCTGAACGCGCAGCCGCACGCGGGGCGGGCACGGGGAGGCGGCTCCGCCCCGGAAGTGCGCGCGGCCGCGGTGCATTGTGGGACAGAGCTGCGGCCTGGTAGGTAAACAGGGCTGGGGAGCGGGCCGGGACCCGGGATCGGTACTGGTAGCCGGGATCGGTACCGGGACTGGGCAGGGTGGTTTCTGTAGGTTCCGAGCAAGTGCTGCCCTCCCCCGCCTGGGCCTGCGCCCGGGCCTGGCGCTGCTTCCCCGCGGCCGTTCTGTCGCGTCCCTTCCGGGGTAGGCGCAGGCCCGGGTTCCCGGTTGGCACTGAGGGAATTGTGTGCGTTCCGCACCGAGGCTGTTTGTCAGGACAGCGGTATGTTGGGAATGCGTAATACGGAGTTAGCTCATTTCACTGCGTGACACACAGTCACGTTGAAGAGCTGTGATGTCAGAGGGTATGGATCTGTAAGGGTTTTCTTTTGTTTTCTAATTTTATTTTATTTTTTACGCTAAGGATAAAAGCCAAAATGGCCTCAGGTGCGGTAGCGAACGCCCCTCCTGCAGGAGGAGCAACTGATGTGAGCCTGGAGGAACCAAAGAAGATGACGAGGGAAGATTGGAGGAAAAAGAAAGAATTAGAAGAACAGAGAAAACTGGGGAATGCGCCTGCTGAAGTGGATGAAGAGGGAAAGTAAGTTTTACTAAAGCTGTGGATGTTCTAAAGCTGCTGAGGAAAAATGTTTTCTTATGTTGTGGTTGCAGAGCAGTTATGAGGGTAACTCATGGTTCCAGTGTGAGTTACTGTAGAAGTAAATAGTTGAAATTTGTGTTTTAATATTCCAGTCATGAGTTACTTTCTAGAAGAATGTAGGTTCAGTGTTTATTTTCTGTCAGCTGCTGACAGATCTGCTAAAAGGTCCAAGCCATGAAGCCAATAACACATGGTATTTTTAAAGTGAGTAGAAAATAGCACAGGGGTCTTTTACAGTGTACCTTGTCTCTTGCTTTCACAGGGCTTGTTGCTTCTGAGAAATGTTGCTGGTTTTTTTGCTCAGTAACATTACGCAGAATAATTTGTTTTGGAGTCAGGAGTTTAGGTGAATTAGGTGGCAACAAAATTTCAAAGTCTGTGTTTATCAAACTGAGAATTTATTTTGTATTGTGTTGTACCAACTTAATTATTTATTATCCTTCCTAAAGCACTTGCACTTTAATGTGAGGGTTGTTTGTTAGACTGAGCTGGTTTGGGTTTTTCCCTGCCATGTTCATTGCACAACATCTTTTACAGAGACATCAACCCTCATATTCCTCAGTACATCTCCTCAGTGCCATGGTACATAGATCCTTCCAAGAGACCCACACTAAAGCATCAGAGACCTCAGCCAGAGAAGCAGAAGCAGTACAACTCCTCTGGAGATTGGTACAAACGAGGGGTTCAGGAGGTAATGCACAGTGCTTTTCCCAGGAAATAAAGGGGAGATGTCTGGCTGTGTGCTTTTGAGGGGGGCAGGAATATTTTATTCAGCAGGTTTGGGCTTTGGGGGAGGCTCACACTCCTGAGGGGTGTTGCAGACATGCAGTTGTTGTGGGAGCTGTGCCAGGGCTGACACTGCTGCTGTGTTTGCCCCCAGCACGCCGTGGCCACGCGGTACCGCAAGGGAGCCTGCGAGAACTGCGGGGCCCTGACTCACAAGAAGAAGGATTGCATGGAGGTAAGGGCTGCAGGGAGCTGAGGGCAGGGCTGCACGGAGGTGTGAGGGCTGCAGGGAGCTGAGGGCAGGACTGCAGGGAGGTGTGAGGGCTGCAGGGAGGTGAGGAGAGGACTGCATGGAGGTGTAAGGGCTGCACAGAGGTGATCCCCCTTTGGCCCTGCCTTAATGGCTTTGAATGCCACAGGAGTTTCATCTCTGTAAACACAGCTGGCTGTAAATGAAATACTGGGCGTGGAAAAGCTGTTTTGGAAAATGTTATAAGTAGTGAGAAACGCCTAGAAATTTCTAAAGAAATTATTAATTAACATGAAAAGTGATACAATTCAGTGTGTCATCCATCAGTTCTGCTTGTAGTAAGATCTATGGTCTAATAATAGGTGAAAATTTCTTTTCTTGCTAATTGCATTAACTCAAGTGCTGCTGTGTCTGTCTTCCTGCTTCAACTCAGGCAGAAGCCACTCACAGAAACTGTTTTAATTGCTTCCTTAACTGTAGAAAATAGAAACAAGAATTTATGGAGTTTGAAGTCAGTTGTGCTACACAAAAGTACAGAACTGCTTGCGTTTATTTACAATCCACAGCCTTACAGTGCTGAATTTAACTTGCTTAGAGGAGCTTGTTTGATAGTGTTTTTTAAAGACTATGTGAGTGAGTAACCTGATGGACTGATCTAGCCATCTTTTTTTTTTCTTTCAGAGACCCAGGAAAGTTGGAGCAAAATACACAGGCATGAACATTGCCCCAGATGAGCACGTGCAGCCCCAGCTGATGTTTGACTACGATGGGAAGCGCGACAGGTGGAATGGGTACAACCCAGAGGAGCACATGAAAATTGTGGAGGAGTACTCCAAGGTTGATTTGGTATGTGGGGCTGTGGTTTATTGGGGACAGAGTTAGTGTTTGGTGTGGCTGGGCTGGGAGGAGGGACACTTGTAATGTGCTCTGTTGACATCAGAGCTGGTGCTGAGGAGAAATCTTTAAACAAATGCATTTCTGTGCTGCACAGGCCAAACGTACCCTGAAAGCCCAGAAGCTTCAGGAGGAGTTGGCATCAGGGAAGCTGGAGCAAGTGGTAAGTAAACTTAGCTAATCTATTTTTGCTTAGGCTGAATGAATACAAAACAGATTATTTCTGCTTTCTGACTCTTTTACTCTCTACACAGGGTCTGCTATTGGGTTTCATGCCCTTCAGTAATTTAAAGGTTTTCCTAGCACCAGCATGTTCTGTGTCACACTCAAGAACTTGAAGCGTCTTCTTTCAAATGAAAATTCCTTTATGTTCCCCTTGCAGGCAGAAATTCTGTGTGACTATTATTGTTGTTGCTAAAATTATTAACATGGAGTTTTGGGGTAGAAAAGCTTGTTTTCCATGCAGTAATTTTTTTTCCTATACCAAAATGCTTTTCTCCTATTAAAAGATTGGTATGATCTGCCTAGTGATGAGGTGATGACTGTGCACTGATTTAGTAATGTTTAATATAAATTGGGAAGAAGAAGCAAATTGGTTTAAGATAAAATCACTGCACAGTGACTTATAAAATGGGGAATAAAACAGAGGCTGTTACTGGTCAGAAGTGCTGACCTAAAGCCTCCCTGCAGAGGCTGTGCTGTCCCCCCTGGGCTGTCACTAGACAGCACAGTGAGCTCCATCTGCCACGCAGCCCACAGTGCTTTTTACAGACCTCCCCAAGAGAGGAGATTCCTCTTCTTTTCCTGCCCATTCTATGAAGCAAACACTGTTGGCTTCTGTATATTTACTGCTTGTAAGTGGAACTGTAAGAAAAAAATGTGTTTAAATTTAAGAACTGTCTCTGAGGGAGAGGACTGAGACTGGTTTGCATAGTCAGTGCTGGTCCATGTTCCAGGGCTCACAGCTGTTCCCACCTTCACTGCTGCAAGTATTCTTCAGTTAAAGACTAAGCAGGTTAAAAAAATTAAACCTGGCTGTATTTGTTGAACTTAATTTCTGCCCAAGTGCTTAGTATTCCTGTAAATCCTGACTAAATTCTTGAATACATATCTCCTGAATTCTTTTTTAAGCTTTCAGAGTTGCAACTTGGTTATATTAAGTGATATGAAATGTTACAGTCTAAATCCTCAGTGTTCAAAGGTGTAACAAGCTCTAAATAACAGCAACAGTTTTAGAATTTGCTGCTCTTGCAAAGAATTGGAAATTTTGTTGAGGATGCTGTTAAAAATTCTCCAACATGTGTCAGTCACAGCGACAGCTAAGAGCGTTCTGCTAGAATGTTATGTAGCAGTGTGTCTGCATTTGGGGCCAGTGGTAAACTGTGTTTTGTATCCAGCATGAAGCTCTGCTTTGATTGCCCTTTGTATCCCTGCTGCCTTGCTTTTTCCCCTATCTTGTCTTCTCTGCTGATGTGCTCTTTGTTTGCTGCAGAACTCCCCAAGACACCAGTGGGGAGAAGAGGAATCAAATTCACAGACAGTAAGATGATTACCCACTGCATCACACCATGGGCAAAGGAAGAGCCTGTAGTTAGTGGAGCAGTAAAACAAGGGTGGCACAAGGGTTTGAATTTTGTGTCCATGCCACTGCCTCCCTCTTGCTTTGGGCAGAGGTTGCTGGATTTCATAAAAGAGGCTTTTTGTTTTAATTCCTATGTGTTGTCAAACCTTAGGGATGCAAGCACATAACTAGATTTTAACATGTGGTATATTTTGACCAAAATAACAGTTTTCTTAATATCATCATAATTATCTTTTGATAATTATTTCCATAGAAGGAAGTGAAAATTCTTTAACAAGAGTGCTTCTGAAGTGTTGAATGCTAGATTAACCTGAGAGCATGCTTAAGCCCAGGAAAACTGTGCCACCTTTTAACTACAGGGACTGAGGATTTTAAGGAAACCACTAAAATGAGATTCTTGTGCATGTCTCCAGAATGAAGGAACTCTTTTAATTAGAAATTTTCCATTTCTCCTCAGGAAAGAGATCATAACAGTGAAGATGAAGATGAGGACAAGTATGCAGATGACATTGACATGCCTGGGCAGAACTTTGACTCGAAGAGACGCATCACAGTCCGAAATCTGCGCATTCGGGAGGACATTGCCAAGGTGAGTAAAGAGCTCTGGGCAGATCTTCCTCTGTGTTCCTGGCAGTTAATTTCAACAAATTACACATTCAGTTATTAATGACTTTGTTTCTGGGTCTAGGGGTTTGGAAGTTAAGGTCTGTTCTCACTTCTGTTCCTGCCCATGTTATCACTTCATCAAGGTCATCCTTTTGCACAGATAGAACTTCTTAAAACATCTAAACTGTAGGATGCAAGTGTAACCTCAGTTCTTTCAAAATCATTAAGTATCTTTTATGTTGGTTTTTTTTCCCTAGTACTTGAGGAATCTAGATCCAAACTCTGCTTATTATGATCCCAAAACAAGAGCAATGAGAGAGAACCCTTATGCCAACACGGGCAAGAATCCAGATGAGTAAGTTAAAATGAGGTCATGCTTGTATATCCAACAAAACTCTTAAAAATTATATTAATTGTTTTATATTTCTTTTACCTGTATGTCCTTTAGCTAATGAATCTCTAGTCAGTTACATGTATGCATATTAGTAAACCTAGAAAAAAATCTATTTTATTTAGAAACACACTTTGGTTTAGTGTATAATAGTGGTATTTTTGTAATACTGATTGATCCTTAATCTTCAGGGACATGTGGACCATGGTTTAGTGTAATTATCTGTACAAGGGCTAGACACTGCTGCATCTAGAGGTGATGCCTGTAAACAATAATGATATTTATGTAAAATATTTCAGTAATCAAATCTTGAACTTTATCCCTTCTTTCTTGGTTCTGGAGACTAGCATGGTGTGTTTGTGGTACCTAACAAAATACTTTAATTAGGAATAAGATCTCCTCCTGTATTAATGGATTCTGCATAGAAAAGGTGAAAGCTTTGGCATTGTCTAGATA